AGAAAACAAAAGTCAATGAACAAGATCGTTTCAGAGAATGATACCAGCGGGGCAGGTCTCTGGCTGACCATGGTGGTACACAACTATAATTCTAGCACTCTGGGAGCCTGAGGCAGGAGGATCGAGAGCTTGAGCCCAACCTGAGCAACTTAGTAAATTAGGGAGATCCTGTCTCTTAAAAAAAAAAAAAAACCAGGGTGATCTGGCTGCGATTTCTGTCACTCCACTGATCACTGATCAAACCAGGGTTGATCTGACTGATCTGCTGGCAGCTAGTCAGGGTCCCCTTCCTCCCTCACAGCTCTGTGCGCATTCCTCCCAAGTTCACTGGGCCAAAGAGGATGACTTTTCTGGCTAAAGCACCATCTTCAGTCAAGACATATGAGTAGCTGGACTCCCCTGCTAAAACCACCAAACAAATCCTCAAAAAAAAAAATTAAAGGGTCGGGGATCAGGTGTGGTAGCACATACCTGTAATCCCAGTACTTGGGATGCTGAGGCAGGAGGATTGCCACAAATTGTAGGCCAGCCTGGGCTACATAATGCGTTCAAGTTCAGCCTGAGATACATGGCAAGACCTACCTCAGAAACAAAACAAAATAGCCGGGGATGTAGTACAAAGGCCCTGAGTTCAGTCTTCAGAGGAGAGAGAGAAAGAGAGAGAGACAGAGAGAGAAACAGAGAGAGAGAAACTTTATGAAGAAAATAAACGGGGAGATGGAAGAGAGAAGGAAGCATGTAAGATGGGGAGCCAGGCATGGTGGCACATGCCTGTGATCCCAGCACTCAGAAGACTGAGGCAGGAGGATTGCTGTGAGTTCAAGGCCAGGCTGAATTACACAGTGAGACCATACCTCAAGAAACAAGACAAAACCAAACAAAACAAAATTTAGGCAATCAGGAGGCCTCTCTGGAGGAAGCACTGACCTCGGAACCATAAGGCGGTTCCTGTTAGCCAAATGCTCCCAGTGAGTGACGGGCCCTCCATTTCCACTGGTTTGATGTAGATGGAATCAACCAACTATAGATTCATAATATTCAACCATGAATTATGGATTCATAATATTCAAGAAAAAATATAGTGTACGTACTGAACATATACAGATTTTTTTCTTGTTATTATTCCCTGACCAATAGCCTAACAACCAACCATCTTCATAGCATTCCCTAGGCATTCTGAGCCAACTAGAAATGATTTTTCTCCTCTTTTTAGAGACAGGGTTTTGCTATGTAGTACAGGCTGCATCAAACTCAGATCCTCCTGCCTCAGTCTCCTGAGTGTTGGGAGGGCAAGTGTGCACCACCACACCAGCTAGAAAGGATTTAAAGTACACGGGAGGACAAGCCTAGGGACTTGAGCATGTTTGGTCACCATGGGGTGGGGGTTCTGAAGCTGATCCCCTCTGGATAGCAAGGGGTAACTAACTGTACATATGGACAGGACCAAGCCTGGCCCACTTGAATGACAGGAAGAAGGCCACTTGATTGGAGCGGGGTGATCAAAGGACAGATGGAGGAGGACCAGCGGGGTCAGCAGGTTGGTCCATGAGGCCCGTGGGCAGCACGAGTGGGTTTGGAAGCAGTACCATCTGGCTGCGGCACAGGGCATGGATGGGTGGCAGGGAGCCTGGTGGGAGGCTGCTGTTCACACTAAGTGTGAGGTCATGGTGGTGTATCAGAAAATCCCTCCCAACCCATGTACTTGTTTCTTGGTAGCTCAGGAAACAGATCCTGTTTCAGACCCCGTTGCTCCTGTATCCTAGAAATGGCTGGTCACTGTGATGCACATTGTATAAACCAATCCCCAATTGATAAGCAATTCTACCTTATTCTGCCTAAGCCCTAGACCAGCGGAGATTCTAGCATGATATTTTGGGAGCAGCCCTGACCAGTGTCGGTCGACTTAAATACCAAGTGTCCAAATACCGAGTGTCAATTTGATGTTTCTGCTTGTAGTGGCTCAGGCCAGAGTTGCAGGCATGGAGCTAGACATGTTCAGACCAAATGTGGTGTGTGTGTGTGTGTGTGTGTGTGTGTGTGTGTGGTTTACTGTGGATCAAACCAAGAGCCATGGCACTGAGCTACACCCTAAAATCTCTGTATTTTTTTTTATTATTATTTTGAGACAGCATCTCCCTAAATCTTGAAGTTGTTCGGGCTGGGCAGGAACTTGCAATGTTCCTGCCTCAGCTTCCCACAGTTTTGGGATCATGGGTGTGCACTACCATGCCTGGTGCAAACACACAGTTTAAAGTGAAGCAGACAGGACCTGCTTGGGTTGGGTTGCCTTAAGGAGACAAAAAGAAAGTGTTGTCAATTATTTCAAAAGCTCTGAGAGGCTGATTTGAGATGGGCACCAAAAAGTGACCTTGTTCACAGCGGCTGGATTTGTGAAGAGAAGCTGCTAGACAAGAACAGCTGTGAAAGTGCTGGGAACGAATAAATCTGGCTCCACACAAGGGAGAGGGTACTGTTCCACTGACAAAGCCAGGCTGATAATCCCTCTGCGAGGCCAGGAGCCTCTCATACTGCCCAGGCCCACGTGCTTCCCAAAGGGCCCTCGGTCAGGCATTTTTGATGTCTCTCTCTCTGTGTGCTTTGCCTCACGTCTTTTTGTGCTCCAGGATAAACATCTGCCTATCTCAAATCTGCCTACTCTCAGCTTCCCTCTGCTCAGAAAGTGCTCAGAATATTTGTTCAAGCCAAGCAGGAAATTCTGCACGTCACACACACTGAGTAAATGTGTACTAAGGGCAATTAAAGGTACTTGGTTCAGACAGGAAGGGAAGTAGCTTCTAATACTTTGTTTCACCTACTTCTTTGTTTCGCTTCTACCTTCTCCTGGTTCAGAAAGTGTGGCTCTTTCAGGCTGAGACCAGACAGATCGGGCTTACTAAACGTGTTACTGTTGTTGGCTGGCTGACTCCATTGTCCTCCTGCCTGGAGGTCCAGCACCCTCTTCCCTTCTCCTTCAAGCATATAGCAGGCCTGCAGGGGGCCTCAGAGCTCCCTGCCAGCCAAGGCACCAGGTTGGTCGTGGTTAGCTGACATTATCTTTTATTTAAACAGAAACAGTAGCCACTGATCTCGTTACATAATGTCCCTGGTATCCTAGGGTGTTAAACCAATGCAGTATCTACCCATCTGGGAGCAGTGACCTGACAACACTAATATTCACTAACACAATATTGCAGAAATGTAACAAGTTTAACTTTCTGATCCTTACTTAGAACTTTAGAGCAGGAAAAGAGGAGAAATCATTTTATTTCAACTTTATTTACCTATTTACTTATCTACTTACTCATGTAGGGCTAGGGCTTGAACCCAGAGCCTCAGCACACATGAGGTACGCAGTCTCCTGGTGACTACCTCTTGAACTCACAGTGATTCTCCTGTCCCAGCCTCCCCAGTGCTGGGATTACAGGCATGTACCACCTCAGGTAGCTCATTTTAAGCCATGCAAATCAATACCTTAAGGAGATAAAAACTTGCCCAAGACAACAGAGGTCAGATCTACAAACCAATCTTTTGATAATTGAAATATGTTTTTCTTTTCTTTTCTTTTCGACAGAGTCTTGTAGTTTAGGATGGCCTCAGACTCGGCAATCCACCTGCTTCAGCCTCTGGAATGCAGGGATTATAGGAGTGTGCCTCGAACCCTGGCCTCATTTCTTCTTAGACTAAGGATTAAATACTAAACCTTTCTTCTTTGCGATTCTTGTCTAAAAGCATTTTTTCATGATTTACCTTCCAAACTAACTCATTGTAAACAATGACAATACCCCCTTATTTACACTGAAAGTGAAACTCAAAGACTGATACCTACAAATGCATGGGGGGAGTTTTTGTTGTTTTGACTAACATTGGTAGTGAATTCACATTCAGTCATGCAATGTGTGGTACACTAACTGGAAACCATTCTATTGACCAAACAAATAAAAAATTCGCTGGTTGAAGCTGAGGGTGAAGAGCTGAGTAACCACCCTGGGTTTCCCTGCAAACCAGTATAAGGAAGGAGGCCAGAATCTCGGACTTCTGAAGCATCTCAAATCCTGGTAGCTGCTCAATAAAACATGCATTTTCTTTTCATTATTTTTTCCTTTCCCAAAATGTCAGTAATAACACGTGGTTTCCTCGGGGGAGTTGTTGAGCAGAGGCTGGGTGAAAATGTTGGCCTGCTCTCTTCCTTTGCCCTAGCCAGCTTTTTTAACCAAATTGACCTGTTTACCTGCTGGGAGACTCTGTCCCACTCCACCCACCTGGTGCCTACCTAGATTTCCCGACTGTCTGGAGCTTATTTTTTAACCTTCTCTTCCTTGAAAAGCACCACCCCACTGACCTAGAATGTGGGCTCCTCCCCTCTGGCCACCTTGACCATCCTACTCCTTCCTGAGTTACTCATCCTCCCTCTAAACGCCCGGTAAGCCAGCAGCCCCTGGGCCTTCCAACGCCCTTTTCCTACTTCTAACTCTCCGAAATCACTACTACTAGCCAGGCAGGGAAAGAGGGGAAAGTGTTTCTCTACAGCATCGGATGGCTGGGGCTGGCAGAGTCTTAATAAATGCAAGTACTGCGGGTCTGAGAGCCACTTTGCTAACTGAGGCTCTGGGTTAGGACCTGCTGGAAGCGCACGGGGGCATTGCCATCTGGCTCCACTCATCCCGCTGCTCCCTCCGCGCCCAAAGTCCAATCTTAACCTGGGGACAAGTCTCAAATCCAAACCGACAGCCTCCCTGCCTGGCTCGGGAGCCCACCCATCCTTGCCACCCTAACCCTCGCCCACCGGCGGGACCCCGCGCCGCTGCACCCTGCGCTCCCGAGCCGGCCCAGGGCAGGGGGTGGGCGGTAGGGAAGCAGGGGCGGAGTTCCGTCTTCCGCTGATTGGCTCCGTGCGGATGGGCTGCGGCCGCGCCGGGCCAACCCGCGGCGTGTTGCTAGGTGCCGGGCCGAGGGGATAGGCGCGGGGGCGCGTCCGTCACGGGGCAGCCCCCGACCCGGCCCGGGAGGGATGCCGAGCGGCGGCGGCGGCGGCGGCGGAGACTGTGGCTTTAAGAGCGCGCCGGGATCCCGCGAGCCAGCCGCGCCGCCCTAGGCTGCTGCGCACCCCGCGGAGCCGAGCCCGGCGCTGGCCGGACGGGCGCCTGCTACCGGGTGAGCGCGGCGGGGCGCGCGTGGGCGCGCGGTGGTCCCCGGCCCGGCCCGGCCCGGCCCTGCTGGCCCGGAGACCCGCTCCCGCGCACGGCCGCGGGCCCACGGCGAGGTCCTGCGTGGGGTCCCCCGGGGGGCCCGGGCGCCGGGGGCGGGAGCGGGCGCCGGGCCACGTGACCGGTTTGTTTACAAACACGCGGGGCCGCCGCGGGCTGCGCGGGAGCCGGGCGCGGAGCGGGGGTCGGGTCTGGGGACGGCCGGGTCGCGGCGCCCTCTCGGCGACTCCGCGGGGTCGAGGTGGCGCTGTGGACGCTCTCGGTCGCAGTGACGCTGCGCCTCCTCGGCGACCCCGGATCTGGGGCGCCCGGGGCGGGGAGCCGGCGCCCGCGAAAGTCCGCGGAGCGCGTCGCCAGCCCCGGCAGCGGGGCCCGGCCGGGTCCGGGCGCGGGGTGCGGGGTCCCGACCGCCTGGCTTGGCCTCGCCGGCCGGGCCGCGACTTCCCCCTCCGGCGCGGGCGGGGCACCTGTCCCGGCCGCTGTGCAGCGCGCCGCCTGCCCGACCCCGCTCCGCCGCCGCGGTTTCCCCTCCGGCGCGGCTGGCCTCCCACTGCGCGCCGCGGGGAGCGCGCGGAGCTGCTCCCGGCCGCGCTGGGCTTTCCGCTTTTCCGGCTCCTGTGCGTTAGTCTCTCCGCGACGTGGGAGGCTCTTTGGAGTGCATGGGCCTTTGGCGAGGAGAAAAGCTCACAGGGCCGCGAGCGGCGTTTTCCTCACCCTCCTGCTCCTTGTTCTATCAGCAAGACGGGGCTCCCGGTCGGTCGCAGAGCGTTAGGAAGGGTAAGGAGCGCCATCCCTGTGCCCACTCACAGGACGTTAGCAGTGCGAGGAATCCGGGGGGCTGAGGAGCGGACCCCCTCACTAGCTCAGCGGTGGGACCTGAAGTCACACGCGAGGTGCTCTCCAGTGGCCTCTGGGTGACAGAGATTGGATTCTCCCTTCCCCGCCTTTGCTTTTACCCAGTCTCTACCACGGGACCCCGAGGTGGGCCAGTCCTGAGCTTCCCTCTGTTCCTCACTTCCTTAGCACTTGAGGCTGAGTCTTGCCTCAGATGGAGGGACGTTTTCAGTCTTCTCCCCTGTGATAGATAGGAATGGCTCCAAGTTCGTTTCTTCGCGCGCGTATAGGCCCAGCCTGAGGAGAGCCGTGTAAACTTACCTTTGGCATCTTCCTGTGTCTCCTGCTGCCTGAGAGGGAGTCTCAAGCAGGACTGGGGTGGGGTTTTGGGGTCATCCCCTTCCTCAGTGGGGCTTTGACTTATCCGTTTAAGACTCAGTGACACCGTATCTCAGATCAGCCCTTGATTATCTCTGCTTGAGATAATCAAGCTTGGACATAGTGATGGAAAATAGAAAATAAACACCATGTGCAAGAATACTATTTTTCTGTCTTCCCTCTAGGAACATGGTTTTCAAACTTCGAGTGGGCTCCACCATAAGGAATAGGTTTTACAGCATTGTACCCAGATCCACAACTGACATAAGTTCCAGGACACAATAATTATTACCTTTACTACTTGCAGTATGTGCTCTACTTAATTCTTTTCTACATAAAAAATCAACTGCTAGTCATGACTCATTAATTTGATTTCCTAACTAAACAGGTCATGACCCACAGTTAGAGAAACATTAGTTGAAGGCAGAGGTCCCCAAAATTAAATATGCATAAAATGACCGACCTGGGTAGTGTTTAAAAATACAGTTTGTAGGACCACTTCAGAATTATTTTCAAGAGGGACACTGGAATTGGCATTTGAAATAAGTATCCACGAGGTTGTACTGCAGATGACTGATTAGAAACTGATCCAAGGCCGAGTTGGTAGCAATGAATGACGAGCATGAACTTGGATATGAAGTGCAGAAGTTAGGTGTGTGGCCCCCACCCCAAGGTCACCCGGCCTGATCACACTCAGCCTGGATTTTGAAAAGTCTAAGGGCACAGTATGGTTTGTTTTCAACTGCCATGCAGCAGTTGGTAAGAGACTGGCAGCCCTCCCTTCCTGCTCCACCCCAGCTCGCTTGAGGGCAGCTGCTCACTGTTCTGTGTGGCTGGATGTTTCTAGGTGCGCGGGGGCTGGGGCTGGGGTAGGGAGCTGTGCTGATGAGTTGCTGTTCTGTTCGCAGATTATGTGAGTTTTCCTTGTCATAATCATGTTAATGGCTTTGAGGCAGCAACTCAGTCATTGTTCCCCAGAGGATTAACAAACAATTGGCCAGCAGAAGGATGGGTTGATTTTGTTTAATATCTGCCCTGTGTAGCCTGGAGGGAAAGGCAGGCTGGTGGCTTTGTTTTTATCTGGGGGGTAGGGGAGTCAGTGTTTGTCTATTAGATGTTAATAAGAAACACAGGTTCCCACATCATGTTGCCTACTTAGCTTTGGTTCTCGGACAGCCCAGCTCCTATGGGCAGGTACATCTTGTTAGTCACCCAGTTTCTGATGCTGCTACCTCTGCCTTCAAGCATGAGCACATATACACCTGATGCAGCCACACATTTGATGTGTCTCCCTCTTCTTTTGTCCAAACATCTTGGTAGAAGAAATTTCTTTGAATTAATCAAAGCTTCAAGTTAGTTTCAAAAAGGACTCAATATTCCAAGTGCAAAATCAACTATGGTCCTTTTTGCCAAAGGTGTACTTTCCATGGGAACATTCACTAAAGGATTGTGTAGGAAAATTAACTTTAATAATGTTCAGTGTATCTAAGCTCATACTCAGAATGTTTAGTGTGAACATATGGGAAGCCAGAGAGCAACAAAAGCATGGCAAAATATAGGATATCTTAGGGTAGGAAAAGCAGAGGGAAGAAGTGTTCAGGGGAGACGCAGATGAAGGACCAGGATCAGTTTCCTTTGGAAATTAGCTCAGCATTTCCCTGCTAAACCAGTAGGTGCTCAGACGAGCTCTGGAAAATGAAGAGGCCATCGCTTTGGATGCCGGCCCGCAGTGATGGAAAGCCAGCCAGGGCCTGCAGGCTAACACTGTTTTGTTGGAGTCGACAGTTTCCAGTATGTTATCCTTCACAAAGGGCGCTGCACACTGGAGCCTGTCAAAGATTGCACCTGCCTGAATTTCCCTGGGAGCTGTGGCGAGAGGCCGGAGGGCTTACCAGTAGGCCAGTGTGTGCTGCTCTTCTGCTTCTGGTTTCCAGTGGTCCCCTTTGGCCTTCAGATATGACCCAGCCCCTTGCTCTGGAGGCTGTGTGTCGTCTGCCTCCCTTGCCTGGCCTCTCCATCTTCATCTCCTACAGGTCCCTGCGTGGTCCCCTGGCTCTTCCTGGGGTTTCTGGAACATGCTAACGGCCTTTGGTCACAAGCATTTTCTACTTTTGGTCCTCATTCCAGGATGGCCCTTCCCAACTTTTGTGTGGCCGACTCCCTCTTACCTGGGTCTAGAGGACATTGCCTCCACCCCTTGCCTTGCCTTTTATTTTTTTAGAACGATTAACTATTATCCTAAACACGCTGTTTGTTTAGTGGGACAGAGGACTGAGAGCTTTTCTGAGCTGCTCACTGCTGACAGTGTAAGCCCTGAGTAACACGTGGTAAAATACTGGTTGGTTGAATGAATGAATAAGAGGCGAAGTTTAAAGTTTCTAGAGTAGAAAATACTTTAAGAGAGGAAGAGGGAAAGGTAGTTGTCTCCTTTTTCCTGGGTTAAGATAGAATTTTCTAGTCCCACAACATTGGAGGCAGAAGAATTGCAAATCTGAGCCCAGCCTGGACATTTTAGAGACAGTGAGACCCTGTCTCAAACCAAAAAATGGGAACAAGGCTGGAGATGGAGCTCAGGAGGAGGCCTTTTTTTTTTGGAGACAGGGTCTGTAGTTTAGGCTAGCCTTGAATACACTATGTAGCGCAGGCTGGCTTGAAACTTATAGCAATTCTCCTGCCTCATCCTCCCAAATACTGGAATTACAGGCATGTGCCACCACACCTAGCCCCCTGGATTTAATCTCAGTCTAAAAAAAATGTCTTTCCAGAATTGCTCTTTTGGCAACTTGTGCTTTTCACTGTATCTTCCATCCCTTTATTTCATTTATAGATAGCCCAGCTCTCCAAGAGCTCTGTTGTTATCTTGCTGTAATAAACAACCCTTGCCTCCTCCACTGACCTTATTTGAGGCAGCGCCTGACACACATTAGCATTTCTATCAGTAATCACATTACTTTAATACCAGGGGGCACTTAGTAGGGCCAAGAGCCTGGGCTTCGGAATCAGAAAGAAATGGATAATTAGCTCTGTGACCTTAGACAATCTAAAATTCTCTTAATTTTTGTTCCTTATTTATAAAATGGGACTAATAATAGTTCCTACCTCACAGGATTTATGGCAGGATTAAGTGAGAATGCAGGGAAACCAGGCACAGAGCCTGGCACCTGAGAGGCACTCATGCTAGCTATTAATAACAGAACCTAATAATAATAATTGGATTCTTCTCCATTCCAGACCCATTGATGTGGGCATGGGCAGGTAAGAGGGTGGGCAGGTATCAAATCTTAAATTAGTGTAAGTTAAATGAAAGCCAGATATGGAAGAAGCAATGTATGGAAGTTTTCAGAAGGCCTCACTGTCCATTGTTCTTCTGTCCTTGGTTTTATCCTTAATGAAGCTGGGTTAAATGAAAGCTACATACTTAGGTCATATTATCTTAGCGCCTCCAAAAATTGTTCACTGAGATAAACTTTGATGTCTGTTGTTTGCTTTTATAGGAGGACACCGCCAGGGATGGTTCTATATTCCTTGTTTCTCCAGTTCTCTCTATGTGTGTGTTTTCTACAGTTCTTATAAAGATTTATGTTACTGAAGACTGTAGCTCCCATGTCACTTAATGTGCTCTGGGCATGGTGGTGTGGCTGAGGCAGGGTAGCACCAGCATGGGCAACTTCATGAGACCCTGTCTCAAAAAGTAAAATAACAAGGACTGGGCACACAGCTCAGATTTAGAGTGCT